CGAAGCGATAAGTAGATTTGTAAAGGTGGAAGTTCCACCCTCGCACGATAGTACCGACGCTTCCTTTCGCGACGATAGATCATGCGGTATCGCGTTGCAGTTGCCTCGTATTTCGCTTCCGAAATTCTCTGGGAATCACGTAGAATGGGAAAATTTCCGCAACACGTTCGAGTCTCTCGTGGCAGACCAGACCTCACTTACAAATACGCAAAAATTTCATTATCTGAAATCAAGCGTCACCGGCGACGCGGCTCGCTTAATTGCAAATTTGAGAATATCGGACACGAACTACGAGCCCGCGTGGCAACTGCTATACGCCGAATACGAGGACAAGCAGGCGCTCATATTCATTCGTTCACAAGCCTACCGGTCATAAAAACGGAAAACGTTACGGAACTGAAGCGACTGCGCGATACAGTGGCAGCCGCTATTGCAGCTCTAAGCAATCTCGCGCGCCCTGTAGATCAGTGGGACGATCTTCTCACCTTCCTCGTCGTTCAAAAATTCAGTCCACGAACAAGGAATGAATGGAACTTAAAACGCAGCGCGTCTTCCAAGCTTCCGTCGTATAAAGATTTTAACGATTTTCTTACATTGAGAATCCGTGGGTTGACTGATCTCTCCGAGAATAACAACGATTCGGCCAACTCGCGTACTCAGAATAAGGGAAAATCCTCCGTCAACAATGTTGTCATTGTCAAATGTGTTCAATGCTCCGGCAATCACTACTTAACGCAGTGTAAAGACTTTTGCTCAAAATCGGTCGCGGACCGTAATAGGCTCGTTCGACAAAACAAATTGTGCTTCAATTGTTTGAAGTCCGGTCACTTTACGCTCAACTGCTCAAATGCGACGCGATGCAAACACTGCGCGCGCATGCATCATTCCTTGTTGCACGGTCACGTTCGGGCGACTCAAGAGGAGCCCAGCTTCGAAGCGGCTGCCACTATAATCACTGCTCCGTCTCCACCCCTGGTTCGCTCAACACCGTCGCGGTCGTACAAGCGGTCCAACCACCGGTTCCGTCGGCCCCGAACGTCCTGCTCGCTACCGCCTGGGTCGACATTCATACGCAGGAAGGTCGCCGCGCTAAAGTTCGCGCTTTGCTGGATCAAGGATCCACATTCAGCTTCATCTCGGAATCCTTGGCTCAAATCTTACGTACAAAACGGCATAAAACCAATCTTCAAATACGTTGTTTCGGAGAAAAATATACGGGCGCTGCGAAGTCTCGCGTAACGGTCAATCTCGCGCCTTGCTCCGAAATCGCTCCGATGCTCCCGCTCACGGCATACGTTTATC